GTCGATCGCGCGTCTCCAGTCAAGCAGAACTCTCCTCCTGTCAGCATTCAATTTGCACGGCCCGACCGTCACGCAGCGAACACGCGATCATGCAGGATACAAATGCACACTTCACAAGATCTCAACTAGATTCGACTAAGTTTGCAAGGTTTGTGAAATTAAATGTTCATTTAATAGACATTCAAAGATTTGTTCAAATGATTTAAATGCGTATTTGCTGAATGCTGACGGCAAACGAGACAGTATTATAATATTTGCTTTTCTATTACTAATAATATTAATAATATATATGAATATATATTAAAGCAATCGTTATAATACTTTTTTGTATACATTTTAATTCCTTTGTTTAACCGTTCCATCTCATTATTAGACAGACTTCTATCCGTATTAGACAGAACTGTTAACGACGACAGCGAACAAGGGGGAGAATGTGAGCACTGTGTGCTCAGTAAGGATGGGCGTATCGATCCGAAGTATCGATATATCGATACTGACGCGAGTATCGAAAGTATCGATACTCAAACAAAATAAATTTCATAATTTAAAAGTTTAGTGCAGAAGTATCTAATCGGTATCGATATCGACGATACTGCCTTGAAAAATATCGGTATCGTATCGGTATCGCCCATCCCTAGTGCTCAGACGCTGCCGTTCTCAGCACCATCAAAATAAAAGTCCTGCGCGACGTCAAAATAAAACAAACGTATCGGCCTTGGCGATATATCGGTCGACCACTAAGCGAAAGGTAATCAGTGGAAATGTGATGTGACAGAACTCATGTGTATTACAATGACTACTCTACAAGGAAAACATGAGGGCTCGTATCAGAAATGTTTCAGAACTCTGCTTTCTTTTGTCACATTCTTGTCTTTATTTTTTCATATTGCCTGTGCATAACTTCGCTGGCTTCTGCAGCAGATCACACTATAAATAAACGCATAATCGCTTACTTTATATCCTTTGTGTTTACTTCTGTATGACGGCACGCTGCTTAAGTGTTGCCAAATCCAAATTTTCCCCGCGGAATTGGGCTACTTTTTCCTCTGTTGCCGTGGGATGTTTTTCAACTTCGTGGGTTGACGCGACCCCACTAACGCGATATTTACCTTCCTGAACATGATTGGGCTAGTTTTGGACTAGTTTTGAGAAAGAATTGGGCAGATTTTGTTGTGAAAATCTGGAAACCCTGTTCGTACCGTTCTTTTGCGCATGTGGGTCAGTTCAGAACCATGATCTGTTCACACTGGAAATCTGATATTGGCCACATTTAAAACAACAATGTGAACCGCTATACAAAAAAATCGGATCTGAGAAAAAAATCGGAATTGAGCACTAAGGCTCACAGTGTGAACGTATCCAGAGAGCGCGCATCCGGTTTTGTGCGAGAGCAAAGGAAATCCACACGCGAGCAGAGATTCGCACTCGCACATCATATTAATATACTTTCGCGCTACAACAGTGCACTCTCGACATTTGTCAGTAAAATAACACCATAAGCGTCTTCTTTTTCTTTTAATGGCGGTTGGCAAAACCACTTAAAGGTACATACCACCTCCTGCTGCACAACACCGTCATGACAGATAACATAAAATAAGGATCCGGCTGAGGAGAGCCAATAACGATCAGTTAAAAAAATAGCTTGATCTGCCCCAATCCCGATCCTTGAGATCGGCTCGGGACATCCCTAGAAGTTACACTACTAACACTATTAACGTTTGTATGCTCATTGACATTTGAATGATGGCTGGTTTAATGACACTTACCAGGGTTTCCTCACCGGCATCAAACTTGCTTTCTATCTCTTTGCCCAGGTCTCCTTCTGGCATTTTTAGGTCTTCTCTGACCTCACCGCTGTCCTGGAGCAGAGACAGGTAGCCATCCTGTATGCCAATAAGCTGAAAAGTGGAAAAACAGAAATTTGTGAAAATGTATGATGTACTTACAGTACAGTAATATTCCCCATTACATACCTGGTAGTCCATTCTTTTGATGTTAGGGACGTCCATATTGTGGGTTGAGGGACAGATATCCTCATACTTTTTGCCAGAGAAGATGTCAATGCCCACCATGTGAACCTTTGAACAAAATAAAGTGAAGTATGGGGTTTACTTTACCGCTGTCTATTCAAAATCAGCTTACTGCATTTCATCCGCATTATGACTCACATTGTGTGATTGAATGGCCTCTCTTTCACATGCACATGCAGCTAATTCATAAAACCTTGTATAAAGGGACTTCTGGAACTCCCTTTTCTGCAAAACAAACATTCATCTGTACATAATCCATGTAACTGGGCAGTTAACATCAATACTATGACTGCTAAATAAAATGTGTTTTGCTCTGATATACTCATCTAACCGATTTATACATCTATTAGCTACAAAATCAATGTTATTGAATTCAAAATAAATGAAAATGATGTGCACTAGTCTAGCTTAGTTGTCAACTACTACAGTGGCGGCTGGTGAAAAATTTTCTAGGTAGGGCACCACATCCAAAAATGTTAGCATACATCCCGGTATGATTTATCCCGTTATAACAAAAGGAGAAGTAGTAAGACTTGAGACATTTTAAATAAAGATAATTGTTTTACCAAGGTAAAGACTGAGGATGATTCCCACAAAACTATATTTTCTGCAAGCTTTTTACAAGATACATTTTTTTTTCTTTTTAATTTTCATAATTCACATTTATATAAGCAGTGCAACAGCAAAACACTGTGAGGAAAAATGTTACATTTGTTTAGAGAGCATTTTCTATACATGCAGTACATAAATAACTACAAGTCAAGCTGCAACACCAAACAGGACCACACGGAGACGCCAACAGACCACTATACCAGTCGCCTCAACCTTACTGTATATAAATATATACCGATCCATTTTAAATGATTAAATAGAGCAAAACACAAATTTAAAAAGTAAATAAAAACATTCTGAATTCGTCAAATATGGTGATCTGTAGGCAGCTTGACATCACCAGTGAACAGTTCCTCTGTCAGAGTGAGTGTTCATGCCCATATGTATATAAACACTATTGACCATCGCAAAATCCTATAATAACATGCTTCTTCAGCGAGTGGCCATTATAAAACACTTGCCAGACATGTGACCATACTGAAATGTGCTCGTGCAAAAAGATATTGGAGAGCACACAGACACGGTCTGTTTGTTTGCACATTAAAAAAATGCACGTGTCTAATGTACGACTCCTGTATGTCACTGTAATCGTCTTTACCTCCATTACAATCATTATCCATCTAAACTTCACTGGTTTACTTTATTTAGGCCATACAGACTAGTCCTGACTTCATCTTTCTTATTTATAGAGTTTGTTCCCACCAATCGCTGCACAAGTTAAGGCTATGTATGATTATGAAAGCACGTTAGTGCTAGCCCTCCCGGAACTCACAGAGGTTGCACTGCAGTGCGTGCAGTTCGAAAAAAAAAATCTTTGTATGGAAGTCTATGAAACAGTCTTTGCGATTCTCGGCCAGAGTGAAAACGCCGAAAAAGGGGTGGTACTCCACAGAACGTGACTTGATGCTGATTGGACTATATAGGTACATCTCAAAAAATTAGAATATCATGACAAAGGTCAATATTTTTTGTCACTCATTTCAGAAAGTGAAACCCATATATTATATAGATTCATTACACAGAGTGAAATATTTCAAGCCTTTATTTCTTGAAATTTTGATGATTATGGCTTACAGATAATGAAAACCCAAAATTCAGTGTCTCAGAAAATTTGAATATTACATAAGATCAATAAAAAAAAAGGATATTTTAAACAGAAATGTCAGGCTTCTGAAAAGTATGTTCATTTCTATGCACTCAATACTTGGTTGGGCCTCCTTTTGCATGAATTACTGCATCAATGTGGCGTGGCATGTAGGCAATCAGCCTGTTGCACTGCTCAGGTGTAATGGAAGCCCAGGTTGCTTTGATAGCGGCCTTCAGGTCATCTGCATTGTTGGGTCTGGTGTCTCATCTTCCGCTTGACAATACCCCATAGATTCTCTATGGGGTTCAGGTCAGGCGAGTTTGCTGGCCAATCAAGCACAGTAACACCATGGTCATTGAACCAGCTTTTGGTACCTCTGGCAGTGAGGGCAGGTGCCAAGTCTTGCCGGGGTGTCAATGACTGTCTTCTGGACATATGTCAAGTCAGCAGTCTTCCCCATGGTTGTGTAACCTACTGACCCAGACTGAGAGACCATTTAAAGGCTCAGGAAACCTTTGCAGGTGTTTTGAGGTAATTAGCTGATTAGGGTGTGACACCATGACTTTCCAATATTGAACTTTTTCACAATATTCAAATTTTCTGAGACACTGAATTTTGGGTTTTCATTATCTGTAAGCCATAATCATCAAAATTTCAAGAAATAAAGGCTTGAAATATTTCACTCTGTGTGTAATGAATCTATATAATATATGGGTTTCACTTTCTGAAATTAGTGACAAAAAATATTGACCTTTTTCCATGATATTCTAATTTTTTGAGATGTACCTGTATATCCAGAGGCAGAGCAAGCAGTCTAGAATAGTGACAGCTGTGATAGAAAAAAAAATCCCTCCCTTTCACACTTTGGTAGTGCGTCACCCAATCACCCTAATGAAGAAACCGCCCCTGAACTACAATATTGTTCTATTTTGTCACAGACCATCACTCACCTTGGCATGTCCATGTTTGCCTGTCTTAGATGTGGACATTTCCACAATCTTGCATGGTCGACCTTTTAGCACCACAAAACCATTTTTGCGCAGGGTAGAGCATTGCATGGGGTAGGTAGCAGAGGCACCAGCATCACCTATTGTGAAGTCCAGGTCAGCATCCGCCATGTTTTTTCTAAGGATTGATACAGTAAGTACAGTAAGTGTAGTACTCTACACAAGTACAGTGGTTAAACTCGACATTCTTTAAATAAACCTAAACATACAGGTATAATATAATCCATTCATCAAAATGTAACAACTTGTTCATCCCCTGAGACCATTTCTACTTTTTCTTTTCTATTTCACAAAAAAAATTTCACAAAAAAAAGAAAAGTACAAGCTACATTTAAAAATAGAATAAAACCATGACAATTGCTCTATTACAAATACGAAATATGACCTGGTATATTCATGACAGGTTTCATGACATTCATTTGGATGATGCATTTAAAGGTCTAAAATAGTCTTTCAATAAATGAAAATCACTTGTACTTTTAATCAAACCCAGCGTTATCATTCATTAATTGTAGTCTCATGCCTCCCTGGGTTTTCAGAAGCAAGCTATATAAGGCAACAAGGACATGGCACCTGTGAACTGAACTTCTGACATGCTCAGCTGTTGTAAATATGTAATAACCCCTAAGTAATAATTGTCAACACTTACATAATCGTAATTAAACGGCTAGAGAACACAACATTTGAGTAACTTTACATTATTAGTGTACTGTGCAATGGTGGTCTGCATGCAAGTATTCACGTGGGAAGGGCCCAAACGTCAAGTCAAGCGAAATATGATCATGCACATATGGATACTTGAAGCCATTTCACTCCACATTCAAAATGCTGAAGCATCCGAATGCCACTTTCAAATAGATAACATAATTTGAATAATCACTGCTCCTCGACGGCGGTAAAGTTAGTTTGACGTTTGTCATTCATTAGACATTCGTTTTTTTGCCAATTAAACTCTTTGCGGCTGTTATATTTTGAGCCCAAACTAACTCAGATAGACATAAATATATGCCCTTTACGTTGCACAAGGCTTAATTTCTAGGAAAAAAAATGTAAAAAAATAACAATTTAAATTAATTAAACAATTTAACTATGTGACATTATAATATAAATCCAATACTGAAATGTTTGGAAAAACATCCGTTATTGCACAAAGCTCCATTTTTGGAATTACCATTTTATGTGTTTTATAATAATTTTACAACTTTTAATGTATGCAATTTGATCTAAAGGTATCAAACCAACTGTAAAATATTCAGAGTATTATTCCCTATAATGCGCAAGGCTTGGTTCTTCAGATTATGCCTTTATTGTTTTTATATACAGTACTGAATCCATATTTTACATGTTTAATATACTGTACCCACTTAAATTAATTAAACTCTGACACCTTTTGAGATAAAGGTATCAAACCAACTGTAAAAATCTCTAAATATTATTCCCTATAATGCACAAGGCTTGTTTTTTTCTGATTATGCCTTTATTATTTTTATATATAGTACTGAAACCATATTTTTCATGTTTTATATGCTGTACCCACTTAAATTAATTAAACTCTGACACCGTTTGAGATAAAGGTATCAAAACAACTGTAAAATATTCAGAATATTGTTCCCTAATGCACAAGGCTTGGTTTTTCAGTTTATGCCAATATTGTTTTTATATACAGTACTGAAACCATATTTTTCAAATGTTTAATATACTGTACCTACTTAAATTCATTAAACTGACACTATTTCAGATAAAGCTATAAAAAACAACTGTAAAAATCTCTAAATATTGTTTCCTATGGTGCACAAGGTACGGTTTTCATATTAATAAATCTGTGTTAAAGCTACAAAAGTGATTTTTCTTTGTGGTTTGATTTAACATTCATAACACAGAAGCCTCAGGAACATTAAACTGCTGTGAACCAATATACTGTTACACATCCATTTTCTTTCTCAATTGTTTCCCTTCACCCAAGCCATAAGCAACTGCGTTTACAAGGGTACTTGCAGAGCACAGTATTTCAGGCACAAATAGAGGCAGAAGTGAACAGAATTCAGTGTTCACGTGCATCTGCGTGGCTCTCACCGTGTCTACACCAGACGTGAGCGGCGCGGTGCGGCGCGACACAATCATTGATGCTGTCAGTCTACACTGGATGCGGCGCGGCACGACAAATCCCTGATGGCGAGTTCTATTTATGAAGTACTGACACAAAGTTCAAATGATTGGCAACGGTCGCTTTGTCGCGTCCAGTGTAGACAGACTTTGGGGCCGTTCACATGTCGCGCCTAAAAACGCGTGGGAAAACGCTTTCTCCTTTCCAAAGCGCTGGGGAGCTTGCGCTTTCTTGGCGTCTGCCGTTGCTAAGCAACCGTGACCTGCGCTCTCCACGATGACGCGGAAGTGTCAACAAAGGATAAATGGATTTCCAGCAGTGAAAATCACTTGCAGTAGCTCTGCTACTAAATGTATTTAAAATGGGTATCTCTGTACAGCTGTCGCGTCCGGTGTAGACACCGTGTCTGTGTGTGAGCAAAGAAAACAATCAGTATAAATATAACAATCAATAGCCTATACTAAACATTGCACATCCTGCGATGTGACTATCGCGGATGCGCACATCGCGATATCGATGCTGGAACGATATATCGTGCAGCCCTAATTGAGTGGCAGTTTCTCTTTGCAGAGGTTGTGGGACGTGATGCATCTGAAATAAACAATTGAGTTTAGAGTTGTCCATTTGTTTATGTAAAAACAATAATGTCTAAAGGCCAAAAGCAAAAATGGACAGAATGTGACAAAAGAGCAGCAATATATTGTTGTGACAAGTCCCGGTAAGTCTAACGCAGTACACATAGCAACGTTTTTTATTTTTTTATAATAAATAAACAGAATAAAAAACAAGTAGACAAACAAGTAGATAGAATAGAAATAGAATAGAGAGTTCTAGTGTTAGAGGGTCAAATCCTAACAGCGCTGCTCACACTTACATATTCTCAAAAAGAGAAAAGAACATGTTTATTTGGAAACCAGTTACAATTTTAAAGTTAAATTTGTATTTAAATTAAAGAATGAAATCATTTACCCGTTGAGAGTGTGTTGACAGTCTGTGTAGTTGGATCACTGAACTCCAGAAAATCAGTAATGAGGTGCTTTGACAGTTAGGGGATTACGTCTCTTTATATCAGGCAACCCCGGTTGTGTTCCTCTGCGGCCAGATTAAACCTTTCTGTAGCCTATGTATTATGCTCTATTCATTATTTTTTTAGAAACCTCGCACTTTTCGACTTCTTGACATTTTAAACGGTGCTCTCCTATTCAAATTAAGCGCGGTCCACTACTGGACACGTGCCACAATATCGATACAGGGCCAGAAAAATAGGGTGGGGATAAAGAACCCTAAACTCTTAACACAAAGAACCATTTCGATATACAAGTCCTTTTCCGTTACTACATTAAAGAACCATCTTATATATATATATATGCTCTATTCATTATTTTTTTAGAAACCTCGCACTTTTCGACTCAACGCTAAGAGTTTGGTTCCAAAACGTGATAAACGCCATTTTTTAAAAATGTGAGTTTCCGCCAAAATCAGTATTGTATCTGGTCGGTATTGAAAAGTCCATTTTTAATTTTATTGCAGAACGTGATATATCCACTCAACCAATCACAGCGCACCATTCCACGCACTCTAGACAGTAATGGCGGCGCTTTGAATACACCCGGCATCCTAGTTTTCCTCATCTACTTTGTACTTTGTGATCAACAAACAAACTTAGGGCTGCACGATAAATCGCATGTGATTGTCATGCGCATCTGGTCAGTAAAGCCGGTTCTGTGATTAATAGTAAACCTCCATCACGTGCTTTCAGATGGAGCGGCATTTAATACACAGAGCCATAGATCACTGCTTTATCGCGTTCATAATCGCAGATGAGTCGCATTCGATTATCGGTAAGTGTTTTTATTTATGCCATTAATGTTTTTGTTAATACAGCGTATAGCACTAGTCAACTAAATGAATGTAACATGGCAAAGATGAATGCACTTTTGGAAGTTGAATGTAAGGGAAATGTCATTTTGGAATTTCTGTGGTTTAATGTGATATTGTTGTTCATGTATGTTCATGATGAAATTTTATTTTATTGTTGTAATAAATTTTTAGCATTAACAAGATGACCCGTTGAATTCATTTTGGGAGCGATGACTGATTGAATGTATTTTTAGTCCAGTGCCTGCATATAAGATTAGTATTGACCAA